TCCTTGTAGGACTTGCAGTAGATGTGATTCTGGAGACCCTGGAGTTATTGTTGGAAGTGTCTTGAGTACCCAAGGGTTTTTTGTTTCTATATCTTCATGTTATTTAATAAGCTTTGTCCTTAAGCTCAAGACTATTTTCCTGTACAGACTTGATTAGGCCATGATTTCTAGTTATTCAATAAAACACTAATCTAGATATATCATTACTGACCTTAAATAAAGCAGAATATCTTGGGGCTATCACTGAAGTCCAGTCATAGAGCACTTGCCTAGCATGTTTAAAGAACTGGGTTGAATGTATGGCATGTGCACGTGCTCACAGAAACACTCAAGCACACACACACACACACACACACACACACACACACACACACACACACACACACACCCCAGATTATCCTAGGTAATTAAACCCAAGACTTCTCTAGAGGAAATTATGCCTGAGGACATTAACTTCAGTGTCCATAAGGATGCCAGCCTTTTTTTTCCCCTGATGAGCTTTCGGGAATCCCTAGTTGTTCCTCCTCCTCCTTAAATTAGTGGACCCATTTCTTTTAATGTATCTTGTGATGGGTTTCTCTTACTGACTTTCTATCAGCTGAACATGCACTGATACTGATTGTCTACGGTTGTGTAGTTGGACAGTGTGGAGAGGCGAGAACTCTTGACAGAAAAAGCCAGGTTGCCCAGAACAGTGATCAGTACAGATATGGATGCCAATGACTTTGCTAATGAAGACTCAGAAGGGAACTGAAGAGGAAACATCAATTGCACTGAAGTACATAGCCTGCTGGGGGAAGTGTAGACGTTCAAGGTGCTACTATTAGAGGCTCAAAAGGAAATGAGGAAATGTGCTTTTGGGAACCAGAAAGGCACATGTAGTGTTAGCTAGTGGCAATCAAATGAGAAGTATAACTTGTTGACTAGAACCCTTGGCATTTAGTTTAAGGAGATTTCTAAGCAAAGACTGGAAAGTATGGCATGATTTGTTTTCACTGCTTAGATTAAGTAGCAGGGAAGGCCTGTATTTGAGAGCACTGTAAAGACAAAAAAGGTAACAGGATTAGATGATTTGGGAAACGTGCAGTGCCTCAAGATTATGACAGATGCAGCTGTAGAGAGATTTATTGGTGGGGAAGCCTGCTCTCAAAGGAAATCTGGGAAAGTGGAAATTTTTTTTGCTAATTCATCTCCCTGTGAAAAATGACCCAGTGTGAAAGAAACTGTGTGAACGAAGGAGTGTGTGGCGTAGTCATGGAAGTGGAAGGAGGGGCTGCAGCCTGGCTGCTCCTGCGGCTCTGTGCAGTGGTGAGCAACGGGGATGCACGTGATTCCTGAGAACTTCATTCTGCAGTATGGCCAACGTGGAGGAGGAAGATCCCAGTATGAATTTCTTTTTAAAGGCACTCGATATTCAAAGAATAGAGGCAGAAAGCAGACTTTTAAGACTACTTAACTGCAGCACTATGGATAATTTTTCAGGAATGAAGGGTGATGATATCGAAGGCAGAATTAAAACCAGAGTGGTTTCTAGCCCTTGAAAACTTAACAGACTGTGCCTAGCTAAGCTCTGAAGTAGCTTATAAATAGAAATGCCCAAATAATAGCTTGTGCCTGTCCCATTATTGCATTTTGAGATCAGGGGAAAGTTATTCTTAGGTTTCAACTGTCTATTGATAAAGAGGACCTGTACCCCAACAGGGTTTAAATTCTGTTCTTCACGCATAGCAAATCAAGTATGAGATGTAAATGGTTACAAGGGGAAGTGAGTGTCGGCAGTGTGTTTTCTGTGGAGGCTTCTGAGCTGAAATTCTGAGCCTTACTACTATGAGAACTAAAAAGTCATGGCCCTATCTTATTTAGGAGATGACACAGAGAATTAAATTGTATTGCCATTGTTTTTAGCCTATGATAGTGCATGTATGCCTGTGCGCGCGCACGCACACACACACACACACACACACACACACACACACACACACACACTATTAGGAATATAACTGGATATGATTAAATTTAGCCAGTGAGAGAAAACCAGTAAAATAAAAGTGGCAATTGTACATTCACTATAACTTAGATTTTAGTGAAAGTATTTTTATTTGCCTGTAATTGAAGCATTTTCCTAGATGGAAAATGAAATAGTCTATTAAAACTAATAAGCATAATCCTATCAGCTAAAGTTACCAAACATCACGTTTAAGCTAAAGGACCTTGGAAAATTCAAGCGCCAGGGAGGAGAGAAGCTCCCTGTGCCATCCCATGCTTTCATCGTAAGCAGCTGAAACAATTCATGGTTTTTCCTGTGATTTCAAAGAGAAGCTTCTGATCTTTTCTTTGTGCCTATCTCGTGTGCTGTGTTTGGTTTGCCGCTTGCGTTCTTGTGATGCAAATCTCTAGTCCTGCTTTCCTTTACAACCGGGAAAGTTGTCCAATCCCAAGGAGCTTTGCTGGTCAGCTCCTTGAAGAAGTCTGACTGGGTCAAGAGTGAAGTGCAGCAGAGCTTACCCTAGCTTTGCAGCTCTCCTTACTTTCTTCCTTCCTGCTGACGTATGAGAGAGGAAGATTTATAATGATAGAATGGTGATACATGTAATACCTACATAACTGACATGTGAGGATGGTTTTGTTTGGGGAATTTTTTGTTATGTAGCTTTTATTTATTTTATTATTTTAAATTTTATTTTGTTGTCATGGTGATGTACAGAGGGGTTACAGTCACATAAGTAAGGTAATCGGTACATTTATTGTTTAGCATTGTTACCTCTTCTCTCATTTTTCTCTTACTTTCTCTCCCTCTGATTCCCACCCTCCTAAAAATTGTAAAGTTCATTTTCAATAGAGTGTCTTATGAGTATCACTGTTAAATTAGATTTAACTTTTAATAGGATGTAGTATTCAATTTTCTATATACAATAACATTTTGTTTCCAACATTTATAGTTATTATTAATACTCAATGAAAAGTAGTAACTTCCTTATCTAGTACTTATATAAAGGCGCGGTGCTATGCAAAGTATTTTATGTGTTTTATATCAGTTAATCTTAACAATAAGTCATTGTGATCACTTGGAGATAGTTGATTTGTTTAATGTTTCAAAGCTTATTAAAAGTGGTTCAAGCATTAGGATTCAAACCTGTCCATATGAATTAGAGTCCAATTAGCAGATAGCAGAAAGTACAAAGTAATTTGAATTTGAACAAGAAGAGTATTAAGTTGAAGACATATGAACTATCACAGGAAGTGGAATAGCTGTAATTATCTACTCAAGAGGGAAGAGATCTGTGAGGAATTGAGAAGCGCAGATTCGGATGAGTAGCAATGGCCGCTCACCCCACGCTGGTGCCCGCATGACCTAGGAGAAGGTGAGCTCTGGGGTCCAGCAAATGACCCAGGAGTTTACTGAGGAGGCACATGAGTGGATCTCATGGGCATCCACTTTTGGGGGCTCTGGTGGAAGACTGTCCACAGAGAGATATCACACTGTGAGACCGAGCAAGGACGTTTTTGTAGAAATTTAGAAATTGTAGAAATTTAGACATTTTTAGAATTTTTAAAAATCTTGTAGAGATTGAGATTGTTGGTGGTACACCGATGATTTGTCCAGAAACAACCCAGTGGCCAGAAGAGGAGGTTGCCCCATTGTTGTTAGGCAAACAACCCAACATGGCTGGTAACATGTACTGCAGAAACCCATGGGAAGAAGGTCTGGAGGCAGGAAGACACCCTTTCTGCTCTGGCTGTCTCCATTGCCCTCTGTGTTTAATACTGAACACTGTGTCAGGGAACAAGGATGAAAGCTTCTCATCTTCAAAACAGGAACTGTTGGATTACAGATTGATAGTTGGCTTACTGGCATCAACAGATGTACTTTCTTCACTGTGTTAAAACATCCTTGTACTTACTTTACCAGGAAAATAAAAAAAAAAAAACATGTTTAAGAAAATGAAGGCAACAATGCTCAATAGAAAATGTGCTCATACCTTGCTCATGTAACTTAACAATAAAAATCATAAAAAAGAAAAAAAAAGAAAGGAAGGAAGAAAAATGCACCAAGGTGTTGAGCAGAGGTTATTTTAGCATCTCCCTTTTTGAATTTTCTACATAGAGTTACTTTGTAGTTCAGGAGATTTTTGTAGAAAGTTTTAGGACACACCTCAACCTGAAACTGAAATTACAAACTGGCGGGCCAACAGTCACACATAGACATTTTAGTTTTCCAATCTTTAGATCCTTTTTTAGATTCCAGTTTTCTCATCTACTAGTTAATGTGACTCAGGTTCAACTGACAAAGTTCTGTTTACAACCAAGCTGAACTGAATCTGCCCTGCTTCATTGACAAACTGAGATTTAGGCAAGTTCCTTAATTTCTTCAGTCTTCGTTTCTTCATATAAAATTAATAATAACAGGATTTATCTCGGATATGTGTTATGGAAATTAAATGATAACATTTTAAAGCATCTAGTGTAATATTTGCTCCTAATAACTGTTTTGTAAATATTTGACAAAGTTAAAAAGTTACTTCTGGCATTTTTTTACATTAAAGAATTAGCCTATGAATATTCATTCTTTCAGTGGTTTCTATTTAAAACACTTTATACATTTACTCAACATGTTTTGCCATTAATCTGCTTCTATTGTTTAATGATAATTAAGAATACAGACTATAAAATGTGAATATATGCTGCTCTTTATAGGGTAGATGGCATGACTTCTGTTCATTGATTGTTTTCATTTTTTCTATAGATTTCATAAACGTCATTTTCAAATAACAGTACTGAAAGATGATGCCAGCAAAGCTCTGACTCCTTCATTTTTGCAAGGAATTATGTGTGCAATAAAGATCCTTGGCTAAAATAACCAATGAAAGAAAATTCATGCTTAATAATGCTCAGTATTCAAATTGTTAGTTTGCTATTAACTCTTTAAAAACAGTAAAACAATCTGTAAATTATCCGGAACTTAACATTTTCAAATGCTCCTTCTTCTTTTCTGTTCACAGATAAGCCAAGGAAACATTCTGAAATAATCCAGAAGTCCCAAGTAATTGAAATGCTATTTACACTCTACCCTCCTCTTGGGGCTCATGTACGTCAAAATGTACAACTTAAGTCAACTTGGCTCAGACCCATTGTAGATGGAGAGGAAGGCTACAAGTACATAGGTAAGATGCTAGACTTCAGTTCTGTGGTGCAAAGATGAAATTATACTTAGATCATGAGGAGTGATGTATTTACCCTCCCTGAAGGGAGTGTTTCTTTGACTTCTTAGGTCTTACATGTACAGCTGTAAGAGTGGCTATTTCATATTGTGATGTTTTCATGGTGAGAGTGGAAGCAGAGAGTATTCATTTACCTGTTTGTGGGCTTTTGTGCTGTTTCCACAGTAGGATTATTGCATCTAACACTGTGCATTCATGCACAGATGTGCATAGATACAGGCTTGCATTCCTTTTGGCTATCCTGTTTTCTAAAGTGATCCCAACATTCCAGGTTCTCCACCGGCAAAGGTAAGAGTTACATGTGTTCCACAGCTTCATTAATGCTGAACATAATCTAACTTTAATTAATCTAATTATATATACTATAGTGTTATATATAATGCATACTTATATATGTATTAGGTATACTTTGCTAAAGAATTGACCCCTCTTAAAAAGTTAAACTTACATCTATCATATAAATGCAGCCATCCCACTGTTATCTATCCAAGAGAAAAGAAAGCATGTGTCCATTTAAAGTTTGTTTGTGCCTAGTTATAGAATCACTTTTCTTAGAACAGACCCAAGCTAGAAACAGTTCAAATGACCATCTACACATAAATGAATAAAAATATACCTTGACACATTCATGTCAAATCTTTAACAACGTGAATGGAAAGGAAATTGATATTGTTTGATACATCCAACAACATGGACCATTATTCCAAGAGAAAGAAACAAGGCAAAAGACACTACCTCCTGTGTGATTCCTTTTGTATGAAATTATAGAAAATGCAAATTAGCCCATTGTAAGAGGAGAAAATCTGCAGTTACATGCAGATCAAGTTTGGAAAAACAGAGAGTCCCAGAACAAGATCTATTTCATTCTAAAGATTTAGATTTGTTTTTTATTCTCCATTTGCAAATACTTTGTTAGGGTAAAACAAATTAAAAAAAAAGAAATATTCTGTTGTCATTATGTCATAACATGAGGATTCTGTTCTCAGACTCTGAAAGCTGATCTTACCACCTTCTTCTTTGGGTAACTGGCCAGAGCCTGGCATCTTTTTGAATTACAATTGTTATGATATTGATGGACAAGAGAGGTGAAGTATTTGCCTTGAAAAAAAAAGGAATCTATTATAGAATTGCTTATTGAAACTAACTCCTTTACTATTAGCAGTTTAGGGAAGATAACTCTAAGAATTTATATGCGGCAATATTAATATTCCACAATGTAAGCAGTCCTGTTTATTGATTTCACTCTATAGCTGCAGAGATGTTTCATCAGCACAAACTGAGCAGTAGTTAGACTTATGAATGGTCTGTAATGCTGGGGGTGGTGACCAAATTATCTAATGCTAGGTCTATGTATTCTCTCAACTTTCTCCTGGTAGATCCACACTTTTGCATCCTGTGCTCCTAGAGTCATGGTTTGAATGCAGCTGGAATGTGTTATGCGTTATAAATTCAACTGACTTACTGTACATAAAGAATTTCTCTTACGTAGGAATGTCAAAATCTTAGATCAAAATAATTAGACCCAAATATTTTTCCAGAGATATATACCTTGTGAAACTCATGTTCAGAAGGCAAATCTTTACAATGTCCCTTTGGTTTCTTTTTCTCTATCAATCATCTGACCTCAAACTCCTAGGATAGCCCTGAGGTCTATCCCCAAACTGCTGAACTTCTTTTTATATTTCATTAAGCTTTTGTGACCTTGTTGAATTTTCAACCTGGAAACTGCCATCTATGCAAAGGAAGCTGTTTAGCCCTAGAATTCTTGGGATTCTAATGGAGATACCTTGAAGGGTTAGGTTAGCCATTATCTTTCAAGAAAATCATTTAAGGAATATGAATAAATGATTAAATTACCTTCTCAAACCAATAGGCCACTTCAACTGAAATCATATTATTGTATTACTGTAAGACTTCTAATTAGTTCAGATCCCAAGTAATGAGAAAAGACTTCTAGTTCTCTGACTTCTTTCCCATATATCACAACACTCGTTATAATAATAAATACCATTTAAGTAACATATGGTTACTTACATGATGTAATCACTGATTTCCTGGCCTAATCACTACTTTGTTACTCATTTTACAAGTATAAAGTATCTTTATGTTTCACTGACTTTTAGGCAAAGCTTGATGAGTATTAGCCAGAAGAGATTTGAGTCTGCCTTTAAAAGACAAAACTGTCCTTGACAGTCAGGTATGGGTTTTTTTTTGTGTGTGTGTGTGATCTTCTGTGAATTTCCTGCCTGGCAACAGAAGTAAAGCATATAGATTTCTTATATATCCTTTCTTGCAGGTGCAACTGTTTCAAAAGTCACAAAATTAAAACTACATGTGGATTACTATTGCTCTTTTCTAAAATGAACCATTGAAAATGTTCCATAGACACTGTCCTTACAATTTGCGGTAGCTTTAGAACTTCTCTCTAAAAGATTTTTTCAGATTCTCTCATTTCTTTTAAGTGATAGAGCTTGGAATAAAACAGGATAAGTCCAATAGATGTTGGATGAATCTGACATAGATTCTACTATATTTTTGGACTTCTTTCTTTTTGTTTTCTTGCTAGCATTGGTGCTTGAACTCAGGACCTTGAACTCTTGTTTGTCTTTTACACTTATGGCTGGTGCTCTACTGCTTGAGCCACACAACCAGGATTTTAGCTCAGACATTGGACCTTGGACCAAAAAGTTACTACTTTAATCTGCAAGGAATATGGGGATGTATTTTTGTAGAGACAATCTTGAGTCACCAAGGCAGTATTAAATTATTTTTCATTTGTTCAGAATTCAGAAACCAGTATGATTTGCAGTAACATAATTATACAAATATACTTTCTATAAGGATGGTAATCACAGTATTTTAGTTACAGTAATAGTGAAACAATGCAAATTTACACTGTTAGATAAGAATTCATAAATGAAATGGCACTCATAAGAAAATATGAAAAATATTACACACGAGTAAATTACAGAATAGCACAATATATCCACATAGTTACATTAATAAGCACAAGAGCATTCAACTCAAGTCCCTATTATGTGATAAAGGTGGATTTTATTTACTATCTTTGTGTGGCTCAATTTTTATATTTTTCTTTTTGGGGTGTGTGTATCTGTGTGTATGCATGTGTGTGTTATATGTGTGAGTGTATTAGTGTGTGTGTGCATGCACACACAGCATGTGCTGGTCCTGGGGCTTGAACTCAGAGCTTCATGCTGGTGCTTGGCTTTTTTTGCTCAAAGCTGATGCTCTACCTATTGAGTTATAATGCTCCTGCTGGTTAATTGGAGATAATAATCTCATTGACTTGTCTGCTAGTTCCCTGCCTTCAATTAAAAAAAGATTATAACTACTTTTATGTGTATTTCTAATTTAACCATAAAAGATAGGGACTTGAGAAGTAATTCTGACTGTGTGTATGTACATGTAGTCAGTTATAACAGAAATGTTATGTTAATGTAAATTCAACATATAAATATAAACTGAATAATATAATTGACTATTGTGTTATGAATTTTGAAATTGAACCTATATTTTATATTCTTTTTTGATGAATTTACCTTAATGACATAAACATTCTGATGTGTGAAGTCATAGTAAAAACTATTCTTCATATGAAAATTAAATATAGCATTTCCAATGAAGAGAAATAAGAAGAGACATTTTTATAATTTCATTTTCAACAACATGTAAAATGGTTGTGCACTTAAAATTGCATTATAGACAGAAAAATGTATTTGAAAAATTTCTTTCTCTGATAGTTTTACAGCCTCTTGGAAAATATATTAATTTTAATCACTTTTGTTTACCAGTACAATTCTCAGTGCATAGTACTTATACATTAACTATTTGTTATATAAAAAACTCTGAATTATCACTATAGCAGTTAAGCCACTCTATTGTAAATACTTTATCATTAATACATTAACATTATTTTTGTTACTGTGCCTGAGTTTCTCCAAACTCAGAGAACTCTAATACAATGTAGCTCATATGAGATTATAGCCCAACTCTTTAGCATTTGATGCTTAATTTGATAAATAAAATATAAGTTCACCATTATGGAGACAAAAATCCAAAATGAGACAGGAGGATTGTTTATTCACTTGATAAATATTCGTTGAGTATCTTGTGTTCAATAAGCTGTGACAGACATGAAGAAGAAAAAGTAAATAAAATATCCTCTGGCTCACATGGCTTTGATTTCAGCTGGAGAAATAAATGCCTCTACATAATTAACTACAATGAAAGATAAAGTGAGGAGTCATGTGACGGTAGCACATTGAGTGCTCTACTGAGCAGTGTTGAGTAGAAGGACAAATAAGTGTTTTAGAGAGGGGCAGGTGTCCAGGTATAGAGATCTTCCCCAGGCAGGGTATCCTTAATTCATTCCCTCTTCACACATTCAGAGTAGGTGTGGCAAAGCCTCTTCCAATATAATGATCATAGTTAACAATAGTGTATTTGTTTAGTAAGGAGTTAGGCCTGACTTCATTGTACGGTGATCATTACGGTGATCAATTCATTAGAATTTTCATACATAAATCTAATACAAAGGTGGATTGAGAGAATTTGTACAGCCAAGCACTGGTGGCTCAAACCTGTAATCCTTTACTCAGAGGACTTGAGATCTGAGGATCATGGTTAGAAGCTGGCTGGACAGGAAAGTTTGTGAGACTCATTGCTGATGAATCAGCAAAAAGCTGGAAGTGGAGGTGTGACTCAGGTGGCAGAGCATCAGACTTGATCAAAAAGCTAAGGGAATGCCTAAGAGCCAAGTTCAAGCTTCAGGACTAACACCGGAAAGGAAAAAAGAAAAAGAAAACAAGTATAATTGGAAAATAAAAAAAATTATTACCTGGAGATTCATTCTCTCTAAGTTAAGTGCTTATTCTTTTGCCATGTTTTCTTCTAACATTTTAGGAAACTATTCACAGCTATGG